CCAGGATATTTTAAAGACATTCATATCTCCACTGGATATTCTGAGGTCATCCTTAGGATATTATTTTCGGAATACTTTCAGGACATCCTTGAGATAGCTTCAGGACATCTTTGTGGGACAGCTTCAGAAGGTCGTTTGAACATCCTTCGGATAAAATGTGTAGGAATTATTGTAATGTGTATTGATTGCGGGTGATTAGAAATCATTTGTACATACATATATTTGATTTATTTCACGCACGCACACACGCACGCACGCACGCACGCACGCACGCACGCACGCACGCACGCACGCACGCACGCACGCATATTGTATAATTATACAAGAATGAATTATAATTTAAATAGTGTTAAGTGTATAAAGTAGTCTATATGCATCACACTATGATATTACTTCAATCTCTATGTTTAATTGCTGCGAGTTTCGAAGTTTCTTGAACTTGCTATGACCGCCTTAAATCTTTCCGAAAGTGATTATCCTTTAAGTCGGTGTTCATAATAGCATATTCTATTTTCACGTTCACTCGCTGTAAGCACTCACTTAATTCTTATTTTCTATCAAATATTAAACAAACACAAATAATGCTTACAAGCGTTGTTAGCACGAAATGGAACGCACCCTGAGACAGGGAGCCGATAACGAATCGTATGCCTATAAGGACTGCGCACGCAGTTAGATAGCGTACGCCATATTAAAAAACTAAAATCACGATACACAAGCCATTCCTTACAATATCGAAATCAGTTGCACTAATGGGCACTGACGCATATTAAAATCAAAAGTGATTGAGATGCTCCAGGATACAAAGACGTAAAGTCATTAAAAGAGATCCCACAAAGGGGTTATTACAAATTTGCGAGGAATGCTTGAAGTGGAGGGATGCAGATTATATATCCAATTCAAAATACAGAATGTTACTTTGCAATGATGGGATACTTTCGAGAGTTCCGAGGATTTATAATATTGCCAAAGATACATAAACAGAATTGTCCTTTTTATTTGATAGGTTCCTCATTAAATAGTTCTCTTTACCAGTTAGCATTTTTCTACAATTATAAAAAATATAGCTTTTTTTGTTTAGTTTTTTTTTTATTCAGCCTTTTCTGTGCACAACACACACACACATTGTGAATATTGTTCAATTCAAAATTTTGAATAGGAAATCCAATTTTTCAATCCAATCGAATCTAATTGAATCCAATTGAATCCAAAAAAGTATTCACTATTTAAAATATGTATTCGGATAAAAAAAATTCAATCCATTTTAATCCATTCTCGTTTGCTGGGGTCTCATAGTAATGTAAATTATATACTTTATTATATTTGTTAAATGATTATATTTTTATAATTATATAAATGATTATATCTGTATAATTTCGTTACTAGTTTAGCTGATTGTAATTAAAGTAGAGAATAAATAACACATTTATCAATTGAAGAAGTGTAGAGGATAACATAGAAGATTTATATATAATATTATATTATAATCCAGAGATCCCATAGGTTCAAATCACATTAAGGTGCGTTTTTTAATATCAATTTGAAGTAGTTATAATAATTTTAGGTACAATATAATTATTATAAATATTAAACTAGTGTTTGGATCCAATCCATTTCAATCCATACAATTCATTTACATGGATTTAAAGCATACATTAAAAAAATTTTAATCCAGTTTAATCTTCTTTCTCGTTTGCTGGGTATAAAGGCTGCCGCACACAAAATTTCTGTAACAGTAACTTTAAGGTGTGAACTTAAACCGATGAGCCAGGATATTGCTTTAGATTTACGTACTCTGACGGAAATAAAAACAACAGCAAACTTAACTATAAGGCGAGTTTGAACTGGTTGAAATTCATCTTGCTGCGAGGTTATGGATAAGTTTACTGTTATTTCCATTTCTGTTAGATTACGTAATCTAAAGCAGTATCCTGATTGGCTCATCGGCTTAAGTTTGCATTTACTTACGTATACTAAAATGAAATATAAATGACAAATTATATTGTAATGGCAGTTACGGATAATGTTAAGATTTTTTCATTTTTAGCAGTTTTACACACACGAACGCACGCATAGGAGTGCCATAATGTTGCGTATATATAACATTATTAAAGATGAAAATCATAGAGTTTCAAACAAGTTCGACAGCTTTAATAAATTCATGTTTCGGTAAACAACAACTTCTAGAAACTACCAATAATCATTAATACAATCGATTGCATTGTCAATCGGCACATTAATAAAGAGACTAACCACATCCAATGAAATCAAGATATGTTCATTATTTAAGTGAGAGCCTTAAGTTTCTCAACAAGTTGAAAACTATTCTTATGATTAACCACTTTAGAGATATTTTTTATACTATAATAGTATTAAGGCTCAATAAATTTAAAAAACAGAAACACAAAAGACTATGAAAGAAGAAACAAAGAAAAATAAAAATAAAAAAATAAAACCACTGCAACTTTCGTATCTCGATATGTGGATTTTATATTCTCTGAGTATCTTAGAGAAATGACTATATTTTTCAATCTCATCGCATTACCTAAAAATAGACGACGTTTATATTATATTGATATACAATTAAAAGGTATTTAGTCTCATTTGATTATCATATGA